ATATATATATATATATATATATTCTCAGCTATATATAGCACAGCTATCAATATATATAGGAATATATATATTTTTTAAATATCCATTTTAAAAAGTGAGTCAGCTTTATAAATTATTTAAGCATGTCTGCTTGACCCACCTTTTTGCAGAAAAGATAGATAAGCAAATAGTGCAAAAGCCCAAAATGCTTATGATATTTATAACTGGGCTGTACAATTCGGTTACCTAAAAGCAAGGACTAAGTTCAAGAACTATCCATGCTCAGGTCCTACACAGTTGAGAGATTCTACAGGATTTTAATTTTTTTCCTTGGATTTGAAGAGCTTCTTTTCTGCAAAGAGCTCAAGAAGAAAAAACTGTGTCACTTAAGTATGGAAGTCACCAACACAGGGAAAATCACACAGCACAAACCCTGGGGAGAAGAACTAGGTCAGGCCGCTCACCCTCAAAGCGGTGGTGCTCACTGTGACAGTTCTCAGGCTCATACACTCAGAGACAGAAGCAGGCTGGGAGACCAGGCGACTTCCAGAGCGTAGGGAGAGCCAGAGGGAGAAGCCATGAGCAATTTAGAGAGAAATTGCTTCATGTCTCAATCTTTTATTCTGTGTTACATTCACGTTTCACGTAGTGAGTCTGATCTGAGAGATTATGTGTCAGCACTCAGGGCTGGTGGGCCAGCTTCACCAAAAATACTGCCTGTTACCTGATAAAAATGAGAGAAGAAAAGGCCATCGTGCTTCTCAATATTGTTTCTTTGTTTGCTATCTTATACCAAGCACAGAGAGACTAAACGACTAAACAGGAGCCTTATTCAGGCTTGAGTTTGGGTTAAAAAAGGAGTGAAAAAGTCATATGTGTTCATACAAATGGTCTGTCTTGGCTGTGGTCTGTTAGGATGGAACCACAGGAGAGCAGAGGAGGCCCCTGTTTCTGTGATCAGCTTTGGATAAACGAAGCAGGTTGGTCATCACCCGTGGTTTTACCTGGAATCTCCACGAACAGCTTCTTCTGGCCTGTCAAAAAGCAAGTGCAGGTTTGGATGGCAGGGAACAAAGTTACGAGGAGGCTGAATACTGCATGAAGAGAGGACCAAGCCAATGAGAGAACAACAGCAGCAACAGAAAACCAAACAAACTCTGCCACAGACCTGACGGGGGATGAGTCGCTGGACGTGGATGAGGTGGGCATAGGGCTGGATGGTGCCGAGAACATGGGCCAAGATGGCGAGAGGGGTGAAGTTGGGCTTGGATTCGGGGGGCTGCAAGACAGAACAACCAGAAAACTCGTCAGCACACAGGGAAACCACAATGGGAGGAGGTTCATGGGAGGCCAAATGATAGGCTGCTGGAGTGGAACATGGGAGCAACGAAACCCAGGGGCAAGTGGCCAGTGTCAAGTCACATTTCTCCAGACCAGACCTCCACATCTTCCACGGAATCCACTTCTGTAATTCCTTGAAGCACAGGCTTTTCCTGCAGAGCTAACACTCTCTACGTGACATGAGCGTCTTCAGCCACGCCCACTGTACGTCATGAATTCCAACACCCACATCCTCTCACCAACCTGGTTCTCACACAGACTGGCTTATAATCAGCCTTCAGCTCCCACTGTTGTGTATTTAAAAATTATGTCTCAGCAGAAATGACAATTTTTCTGGGCCACAAAGGCCACTCAGCCAGAAGACAATATCCTGTTTACATTTTTAACTAAACGAGCTGCTTGCCGTTAGAGATCCAAAGCGCTGTATTAGAATCATGATAGCAGGTATGAACACACACTTCTTAGGAACTTGCATGCAATGACTGGCAGTGTGTAATTCTTTGGAGGTTCGCTGTCTAGGCCTGCCCCTTCTGTTTTCATGGACTTTGGGCATTTTGATGCTCAAAGAAAAGGCCCCAGTAGGAACGCAATTAAAAAACAAAAAACTGAAACCTTACATTTGTCCATTTTGGTCTTTGATGGGTAGTTGATCAAAGGTTTGAAGAGGAAAGGCTGAAATTACTGACTAAAATATGGTGTGTGGATTTTAATCGGTTATGCTAGCCCTTTGACTTATTTCCACAAATTATACAAACACCTTAGTAACTCCATGAAATTGCATTAAGCTCAAATAGTGCAAACACAATAGCTGAGAAGATGTGGAAACCATCCAGCCTCTGTGCCACTGGCAGCACCCGGAACGTGGCCAACTGCTGGACTGTTTAGGCCCAAGCACTTCGAGGAGGTGAAAATGATAAAAATCCAATTCAAGGGGAACAGATTTTCTAAGCAGCCTGGGATTTAGCAAGCACACTTAAATGTCCTACTTAATGGGACTTCTGTAGGGTTACACCAATTCAGGCACGAGAGCCAGTCGTGGCTCTAATCACCCACTGCCTACACAAAGCTCTACGGACTCCTACGGTGGAAATCTCACTCTGTAAGTCTGAAAGGTATCCTCAGATGAATTTGATGAAGCATTTGTTAAATGACATTATTATATTATATTTTTAGAATACAGATCCACAACAGCAAGGACTTTGTTGTTCTGCTTACTGCTGTATCTCCCATGTCTAAAATAGCACCTGCAGGTAGTCAATAAATAATAAATAAGTTAATGAATCTCATTTGATCTGCCAAGTAATCTCATACACAGGCACTATTAAAATTTCTATTTACAGGTATGAAAATTTGGGCTAAGGTGAGGCTGCCTGGGGACACACAGCCTGTAAGTGATGAGGAGAAGGTTTAAGTCCCGACCCCCTGACCTAAGCCCAGGGCTCTTGTTGACAGAGTACTGGGACAGTAAGGCTTACTCTGTTTCTCCAGGTTGTGCCAAGCCTTTCTGTAGGCCCAGCCATAGCATCAGCAATCTTCTTAACCACTGATTAATGAGTTTCCTTTAGATGGTTACCACATTTGCAAAGGAACACAGGAATATAGCAACAGACAGGTTCAATAAGACTCAACACATTGTAAATTCCAACAAACTCCACAATCTTGCCTCCAATGTTCTGTCTGGTAGATTCATGTAACAGATGGAATTCATATAAAGGAAGAAATTAAATTTAAAGAGTATGTTTATTTAAGTTAATTTTTTTCAATCCAGCAAAGACTCATGATGGAACACCCAGACTGACAGAGATAAAAAATAGCACTGTCAAGGTCTCTGACTTCAAAGAGCTTAAAATATCTCTGACAAGATAGGAAAAGGTTGTTTGAAGAAAAAGCAACTATATTATAAAACAGTAAGATCCATCAGCTGAGGGATAAGTTACTCTATTATCAGTTTAATACCTGCTCTGGTTGACTCTGTCTTGAGTCTTGGAACCACTGCAGCCTGTAGTACTGTGCTGGCAAGACAGGTCTTGCATTTGTGCTTGTCTCTCTCCATGACCCTGTCCATGACCCTGTCAGTAGGCAAGGGCTAGCATAAACCCTCAACTATAGCCCAGCCCAGGCACCAGAGTCTGACCAGGAGCAATTTGGAGTTTCAAGAGACAGCCCAGGTGCACGGGCCTGGACTCATCTGTTCCTTTGATTGTGGTTACCACAGGAGAATTAAAAAGTCCTCAGAACTTGGTTTTTAAACAACTATCATGCGTAGGAAACATCTCTAGATTCCTATCACATCTCAACCAAAAATTATGCCTTTAACTAGAGGCGTAACTGGGAACATAGTTCAGGGAACACAGTGTGGATTCTGAGTGTTTTTTCACATCCTCAGATATCTAAGTGGTTCTTGGCTAGTAGGGCATGGCTAAAATTATCTGGGGATACAGGGAACGCAGGGTATTCTTGACTACTGTAAGAAGTTACTCTTCAATCCCCATAGCAATTGCCCATAGCATCAGCTGGAAATTTCAAGAACCAACAGAATTTCATCTGTGTTTTAGTCATAGCAATAACATTTATTTGCTCTGAAATGACCACAGTGTAAAAATCTATTACCGCTATTTTTGAGTGAGTATAACAATAAAATGCATATACCATAGTACTTCTATGATTTTTTTTTTTTTTCGGTACCGGGGATTGAACTCCGGTCCTTGTGCTTGCAAGGCAGGTCACCGAACCGCTGAGCTAAATCCCCGGCTCCTTCTATGATTTTTTTAAACTCAGAGAATTATGCCTTTTATTCATTTGTAGTTCATAGTCATATCATAAATGTCATCATCAACAATACTATTGCATGTTTTATACATTATAATGGTGGTTATAGAAACAGAAGGCCTGTGTATATATAAACACTATAAGACATAGAGCAAATTATATTTTAGTGTTGATGCAACGCATATAACATTAAAGTAGTATAAAAGATGCACAAGGGTGACGAGAATGGCCCAAGACTGGGTAATCTCATAAAAATGACAATGAAAAATCCTCAACCTATGTAAATCCAAAACAAAATAGACCAAAAAAACAAAACAAAACAAAACAAAACCTCTTGGTTCTAAACCCTCTGATATAGAATTCTCAACCTTTTTGTCCCCCACTAGTGAAGCCAAAGACAACAAATGATTCAGGTTATTTAGGAGGAAATAACTTTATAACTACAATTTCAGCAGATGACCTCTCGAGGCTTCTCTACAACTCCTGGTCCAACTGGGTGTATCTGAGCTAGGGCTAGATGTTCTGGAGCCAGAACATTTTTTGCCTGAAATATGCCTGTGTTTTGGTCCTGCCAAATCTCCTCATCAAGGCCCATGTACAGCAACAACAGCAGCTTCGACTTTAGCATGGAAGAACATTTGCTGGTCTGGATTGCATCCAGTGCGAAGGCTAGAATCAGCCTTCCCATTCAGAAGTCTGTTGGCTTACTGTGTCCTCAAAAGGAGTCAGACAGGCTTGGCAGTGTGCAGGCTCACGGCTGACAGTTCAAGTACAGGATGTAGCAAAATCATCAGCTTGACACCCTTCTGTGGTGACTCACCTGAAGGACCGGCCAGCTCACGCCTGCTCTGCTGTGGACAGGGATGTCTAGGCAGGCTCCCTACCTGAACATGGATATGGTAGACCCTCTCTGCTCTCCCTGCCGTGATCCTGGAGCTGCTACAGGGTGAAAGGTGCTCTTACTGGAGAGGTAAATCGAACATACCGGAGCCAATTGATCTTTCTAAATTCAGACAATCACAATTCCAAGTGGCTTTGTAGCAAACTGAAAAATACTAAAGAGCCAGGGCAAAAGCAATGAAGTCACACATAATTTATACCCCTGGAAATCACTATCAATATCACATTCCTTCCTCACTTTTTGGGTAGCATGTTACTACAAACATAGTTAACGACCTGTTTTTAAAATTGCTTAATAAAGATTTTACAGTGTTACTAAATAGCTTTTGATATCACATTTTAAAAATGGCTAGAGGGCATTCTATTACACAGTATACCAGTTTATATAACCGCATGTATGTTCAAATTACCATCACCCTTTAGCTATTAATATATATATATATTTTGGTTTTTCGAGACAGGGTCTCACTATGTAGTTGTTGAGATTGACCTGGAACTCACTATGTAGCCCAGGCTGGTCTCGAACTCACAGTGATCCTCCTGCCTCAGCCTCCCGAGTGCTGGGATTACAGGTGTGCATCACCACGCCTGGCTATTCTTTAGCTATTGTAAGTAGTGCTGTAATCACATCCCTGTAGTGGATCACTGCCTGTACCACCAATTGTTTCCTTAGCATAAATTCCTGGAAGTAAAATCAGCAGGTCAGAGGCCAGGAGTTCCGTCTTGATATATCCTGCCAAATAGTTTTCAAAGAGGTTCTATCAAACTGCACTCCCACCAATGGGAATTCCTTCTTACCATAACTCCACCAGCATTCAGCATATCATCATCAAACAAACAAATAAAAGAAAAACATCACCACAAACAATGACAAAAACCAAGCCGCACAGAAGTGTGTTTTTGTTGTTGTTTTGTTTTGCTTTACTTTACAAAGGTTACCTTGGACTTTTCTCGTTTCTAACATTTTTAAGGATGTATAAATGAGTACAGTTTTCTTCCCATGTTCGGTTTTTATCTGGAAGCAATGTTTAATTTTCCAAGGGCATTCTGCCAAGAAGGTAGTGTGGGAAGGAGAAAAGCCGACGGACAGAGAGACAGACAACCACAACCTGGGGATGTCAGACACTGGGTCTGATTGTATGGCTGGTCCAAGAGAACGAGCAGGGGGTATTTAGCTTAGTCTAGGGCTCTCAGAAACAGAACTAAGTAGGAGGCATAAGGTACACAACGAGGGGCCAGAAGGTCTTGTGCTAGCATCATACTGTAGAG